AGTGTAATCATAAGTTAGACGATAACCTCCGAATTAATTTGCGCAGCTTGATTTTTTTATCGTGCGATGAACGTTACGGATTGACCTCGACGAAATCACGTGGATATAACTCGCGCACACGTTTTCTTTCCTTCTTGACGTTCGCACAATTCGGTCGAAAATGTATTTACGCGGTTGCACTCGAGGCCGTAGTCTCGACCGGCCAGGCACGAGAGTTATTATCGGGCGCGGTTATCAAAGTTGATAGATGATAGCGGGCGGCGGCGTGCTAAATAATTTATGAGGGAACGAGTTAAACAATTTTCACGTCCGGTTTGATCGGCGGATCGTGTCGTCTTAGTCTATTTTCGTTGCGTTCGCCTCGCAGCAGAATTGTGCATTTCCTCCTTAACGAGGGAAGCGGCTGTCTCTCGGCGTAACGCACTTGGCGCATAATGAACCTGACACGATGATAATGAGTCGACTAATTTCATGATATGAGCGAGACGTGCTTCGGCTCGGCGATGGATCTTCTGCTCATGATCGGGAGAGAATTTTTACATAATTACATCTTTCCTCTTTTGCATAATTATACAACCTGACGCAATGAGAAACGTCCGAAATTATACATAAATCTGCTATCATCCGGTTTTGTAAACAGAAATGAATCAAGCTTTAAAAAACACACATCGAAATATGTTATATAATTTACCTCTTGTCTCGTAACGTCGAAATTGTGCGTGTACTTCAAATCGCATTTAATTGGGATTATTAATTACTGCCGCTTCATTCCATTATGAAATTTGGCGCAAGTGAGCGCGGCGATTGGCCCGGCATTGACACGATAAAAGTATCATCGTTCATGACGATCCCTCAACCTGCCATTGCATCAGAGTGCTTATTATGGATTATAGATTATCAATAATGAGCGAGATGCGGAGCGGATGAGATGACCCGCGAATAAATAGCATCTAATTACTGATTAATGCCCAACCCCCGCGATTTTTCATCAGCCTCGACCACTTCAACGATCTTGAATCGATTCGCAAACAGTGCCTAATATCTACCATCAATAAATCTTAATTGACAAGCTCTTCGAAATAAACGTTGATCGAAATAAAATGCGACGTCAATGACTTTTATCTCTTGATCCTGCATTTTATATTGACACTTTTAGTCCTCCAGTCGGTCTTTTACTTTAATCCTGCAATATCCGCGTGTCTTTATCGCCCAAAAATGTCATTCTGGAATTCATAATAATGATTTAATTTCTATATCTATAACAAACGGTTTTGTTAAAATATAAAAATTTAGCTAGACACAGATCTACAAATAATTATGGACTATTTAAATAATTATATTGGACAATCAAACTGGTTGTTAAAATGTCAAAATTATTTGCAGTATTAGGCTTTTTATTCATTCCCGTACCGAATTGCTTTTTTTTGAATAGCCAAATTATGGAACGTATTCATTTTCCACTTCATTCATTTCTGTTTTAAAAACATTCGTAGGAATTCCAGAAAATTTATATCGCAACTTTTATGTCACAACATAGATACACAATTCTAAACTCTTATTCACAAAAGAGTCTTTATAATCTATAAAAATTAGAATGAAATCGAAATATCCACTAGATATTTTGATTTTATTTTATTAAAATATAATTGAGAAACTCAATAATGCCGCGCCTTTTTTTCTATCCGGTATGGTTTTTTACGAGAAATAAAACATCACTGCATCCATCTGGTGGCTATGCCGCATATTACTTGCAAATATGCGATTTTTTTCGAACCTATTACGAATAGAATAAAAGACTTCTTTTGGAGTAACTTCGATTTCATTCTATAAGAAATTAAAAAATATACTTCCATATTCTTTTTGAATTATCGGAAAGAAATTCTTTTTGAGTTATAACGATCATCTGTATTATTTGGGAAGCCTGAAGTAAAATTTGGCACGATAAAAATGTATTTTCTTTTACTTGTAACTATAAATATCTCGTTTGATTTTCTATCTATTTGAAAACTCTTAGAATCCTCAAATTATGAAACATTTAGATATGGAGTAAAATGTGAAATTATACAAATAAAATCTTTCACATCGCGAACATAGTCAATATCAAAAATCATGGAGTTGAAGATTCCCCCACGAAGCGAGATTCTTCGTACTGCAATTGAGCATTTATTTCCATCTCCGTTTTACTCTGCATGAGAGTAAGATAACCCATGGAAGGAGGATTGCTGGCATCGCCTAGTCAATCATAATTCTCGATCTTTTATTCAATTCCGGCCATTAGCATGCATACACGCGGCATGGAACTGCCGATCCTCATCGGAGATATCGCCATCGGGGGATAGCGGATTGTCCTCGTAAAATCACTGGAATTTCATGTTTATTCAATACTCTGGGATGCCGAGATGCCTCGGAGTATGCCAGCGTGCTGCTTATCTCGCGCGTGCCTGGATAGGATGAGAAAGCGATTTTTGGTACGGGTCTCCGCTGCGAATCGCGCGTGGTTATTGCTCCTTGGACGTCTCGCCTGGAACCGACGCCATTTTAATCAATACCAAGGGGATTTTGCGCAATATCGGTGGTATTGTCGAATCGTTCTTCTCTGGCTAGATGATGAGTTAAACACAATCTTTTTCAATTAACATTTTAATAACTGCTTTACGTTACATGCAGTTTTTTCTCATATTTTATATTATACATTGATTCTTTTTATCATTTTTTAACTTTAATTTATATTTGATCTTTTTAATTAATTTTTTTTCAACTTTGCAATATTTTTATGTTTGTTTAACTTGTTTCCTTTTTTTCCGTATTAGCTTACGTGTTTAAGGCCACTTTGTAAGAACTCGATTCACTCGACGCCCGGCGAGATGTTTACCTTGCGCCGCGATTACAAATGGCGCGAAATTAAGATAAATTCGCGATCGTCCGCCATCGACGTCGTCCACCATTTTCGTGTCGCACGAACATAATAATTCCCGTCGAAAGTATACAGTACTTAATTCGATATCGATATCGATCACGCGCGAGATAGGCTGCCGCAAATTATAACGTTCTGCTGGCTGCCCGGATGCAGCGATCCGCCGATCGTTCGCCAAACTCCAACCTTTGAGAAAAAGGTAAATTATTACTTACATGATCATAGCTCTCTTATAATAATTAACAATAACAAGCGATAACAAAGCAGCCTTTCTGTTCTTATGTGAAATAAAATAAATTGAGTTTTAAAGCTATCAAATCGACAGTTCGTGACACTCGGCAGTGTTAAGAGTGTCGAGTGAGATTTGCAGATTTTTATAGTGATTATTAACATGATGATTGAGAGATTAAACTCTCCAGCCGAGTATTAAATCCGCAAAATCGACCCTCTCAAAAGTTCTTTCTTTTTATCTGTAAAATCTACCCCGGCGCGGCGATGTATGCTCACCGAGAGAGCGACTCTGGAATTACGTAGGTACAAACTCGCATTAAGAATTGTTACGTTGTTAGATTATGTCTAACAATGATGATTGCCGCTATAATCTCTCGCCGTTACTCGCGTCACGCTCGGCTTGACACCACCACGAACAAAAGGACGGCTTGCCAAGTGTGCGTGCGCGCGAATTCATCGATTTACATCGGCAAAGTGGCGAGCACGAAAGCGAGTGCCGCGACCGCGCCGGTGCAGCTGCTCGATCGGAGGAGAAGATTGAAGAGGAGTGCACACTTTACTACATGGTTAACTTCATTATCGGAACGCGCGCGTCGGCCGTTACAACTATGGGCCGCATTATTGCTTGGCGGTTAACGTAACTACTGCATTTGTTTTCGCTGCGAGACATGCACTTACACGATCCCGCCGCGCAGCAACAATAGCGCGCGCCGATTAAGTAATTGCGGGTGTTCAGCCTATGTCGCCGTTATCGTTTACTCTCTCGGCTCTTCTGTTCCTAAGCGTGCAGCGCAGCGCGCCACGGACCTTTAGATTCCTAATCTCCGAGGCATCGAATCCCAGGGACCTCTTTCTCGGATCATTACATTTTCATTCTTCAGAAGTTTCGCAGCATCAAACTTCTCGACTCCTCAAGATACCTTGAAGAGTGATTTGAATGCTTCAAATCCGAAAACTTCCTTTGTTGATTTATGAAGCTGGAAATTCCTAGATAGCTAACATCCCAGAGACAGCGTCAAGTCATTAAAAGAAAAATGACTATATTTATGAAGATAATTTTTATAAAGATTTTTATAAAAGATAAATCTTTTAAAATTGAAAAAATGTAGTAGACAGAGAGAGATAACTAACAGACGATAGATTTTGTTGCCAGAAATCTTAAAGCCTTATCTATAATAAATGACTAAAAGATGACTAATTTTGGACATATTTTAATTCGTTTCTAAGATTTCTTTTATTTTTAACTGTCTTGTTAGAAATCAGGAAGATAGGTAGAAGTCTCGCGGGACACCCTATATATGTACATATATGTGAGATATCTATTCATATAGCCTGTTATACACATAGCCTGTATATAATTATATTTAAGAGATTAGTACGCAGTCCCGCCACGAGATGAGCGCACTTTTCGTAAGAAGAAAATGCTTAGGATCCTATAAAAAAGCGTATGCAAATCGAGATGGCAAATTTCAAAATCTTTTGGAAACTCACATACATTTTCGGAGTGTGCTTTTTTGAGCCTCTAAATGTATTTGATCACATTTTACAACGTGTGTATTTTAAAATGCAATGCTATAACTACATATAGTAATATCTGGGCAAAAAACTGAACATAAAACTGAATTAATTATCATTTTCAATTTTCATACCACTATATAGTTATAATTATATAGTTATAATTATATATACTTCTATATAATTATATATGGACATATTTCATATATAGTTTTGTATAATT